TCACCTGGGAAATTCACCATCAGCACATCTACCTCTTAACCAGGGTTCCTACATCACAACCTGTAGACCGAATTAGGAAACAGACAAATCTGCAACGCATCAACGCAGCCGGGCTCCGAAAATAGCAGCTGCAGCCACAAACCAAAGAACAGGCCTTTGTGAACAGAGTGAAAGAAACTGCTTGTCCTGAGCTCATCTTTTAAGCCAGAGAACTCCCTACTCCTACTAAAGTATGTCTTTAAGCCAAGATAGGAATCAATTACATAAAAGTAGTATGTCTTAGTACATTAGATTTTCCCTTTCCCGCTAAGTTTCCGAGGCCTAATTTTCCAACCAGAGCCCAAGAGAATATGAACTTACATGAAGAGGGGTGGCTGACTCGTTGTCCACAGGTTTGACAGCATTAACAGAGGCCAGGCTCTCCATGAACCACGCAAGACCAGGAGATGAATCCCTTTCACAGTGCAAAACCCACTTTCAGGGTGATCGCTGCCTTGAGGAACATGGTTTCACTCCAGTCGCTCCAGTGCATCTGTCTCAAACTGTCTCTTGTTTTTCAAACAACATTGAATTTATCTCCTCACCCTAATTAACACCACTTAGGAAGGTAAGTCAGTTTCAGAAACACTTCTGTTGGATTCACATGGAAACCATACAACTTCCTGAGCAGCTTCACACCTGAAGCCACCTTCCAGCCCAACAAAGCACCCACCCTCCTTCTACCTTCCTTTCCCTTCCTTCCCCTCCCCCTTTTCTCTTTCTTTTCTTTCTTTCTGGCTGGAGTGCAATCTCCACTCACTGCAACCTCCACCTACGGGGTTCAAGCAATTCTCCTGCCTCAGCCTTCCTAGTAGCTGGGATTATAGGCACCTGCCACCATGCCTGGCTAATTTTTTTTTTTTTTTTTGAGACAGAGTTTCACTCTTGTTGCCCAGGCTGGAGAGCAGTGGTGCAACTTGGCTCACCACAATCTCCGTCTCCTGGGTTCAAGCAGTTCTCCTACCTCAGCCTCCCGAGTAGCTGGGATTACAGGCACGCGCCACCATGCCAGGCTAATTTAGTATTTTTAGTAGAGATAGGTTTTCTCCATGTTGGTTAGGCTTGTCTCAACCTCCTGACTTCAGGTGATCCACCCACCTCGGCCTCCCAAAGTGCTGGGATTACAGGCGTGAGCCACGACGCCTGGCCCACCTTTCTTGCATTAAGCATATTAAGAGATACCATTTGGGGCCAGACTCGTCGTCGAGACAGTATTTATTTTTTAAGCGGCACTGAGGTCATACATTTTAATCCCCACAACACATTTAACTGTCCTCTGCCCATCCTTAGAGATTCTGAGGATGAAACGTTATGCAAAGTCCCTTACAGAGTTCAGATGTCATTGAAAAGGGAGCAGGGGCAGGAAAAGGCTCATCTTTTTAACCTAAGCCCAAAGTCCAAACCAGGTGCCAGAAAGATAGAATAAAAACTGTTCCTATAGCTTTGAAATGCTTTAGGGATGCTGAAGGATAGTCTTTAGAGAATCATTTAAATTAATATATCTTTTTTTTTTTTCATACAGAGTATTGCTCTGTCGCCCAGGCTGGAGTACAGTGGCGTGATCTCGGCTCACTGCAAACTCTGCCTCCTGGGTTCAAGCAATTCTTCTGCTTCAGCCTCCTGAGTAGCTGAGACTACAGGTGCCTGCCACCATGCCAGCTAATTCTTGTATTTTTAGTAGAGATGAGGTTTCACCATATTGGCCAGACTGGTGTTGAACCCCTGACTTCATGATCCGCCCACCTCAGCCTCCCAAAGTACTAGGATTATAGGCATGGGCCACCGTGCCTGGCTTAAATTAATGTATCTATTCTTCATTTCAAATGATAAATGAAATAATATCCCAGTGATTCAGTCTTTTCCAGTTTTTAGTAAATATAGTAATGGAAAAGATGGGAGCTCCCTTCCTCCCTTGCTCCCACCTTTGGAAACCCATTAGGTAGGGCCAGGTGTGGTGGCTCATGCCTGTTATCCTAGCACTTTGGGAGGCTGAGGTGGGAGGATTGCTTGAGCTCAGGAGTTCAACACCAGCCTGGGTAACATAGTGAAACCCCATCTCTACAAAAAATACAGAAATCAGGCTTGGTGGCACATACCTATAGTTCCACCTACTTGGGAGGCTGAGGTGGGTGACCCGAGCCTGGGAGGTTGAGGCTGCAGTGAGCAGTGATTGTGCTGCTGCATTCCAGCCTGGGTGAGCCTGTCTCACAAAAACAAATAACCCTACAAAAAACTCGAATACCTATGGGTCCATATTGAGACAAGTAAATGAGTTAAGAGAAAGCTTTTCCGTACCCAGTACCAACCAATCAGTGTAGAAGGAATGGAAGGATCAGAAACCACTATTTGGCAACTATCATAGTTATTCAGCCAAAAAAAAACAATAGATGATACTGAAAGTCGGGGGTAGAAGTCTGATGAGGAACAGGATGTTTAGTCTCAAAGCACTTCCCTACAAAATATTTAACTTTACAGTGGCGGAACCTGGCAGTCACAACTAAGTGACATCACCAATAATGGAGAAATTCATAATCACGTGTCGCCTGATACAATACTATGTGAAGAACACAGCATCAATTCTGAATATTCCCGCCCAAAATGCAGAGTCTGAACCGAATCATGAGGAAACACCAAACCCAATTCGAGTTTACACAATAGCCTCTTACCTTAAAATGCTAAGGTGCAAAAGCAAGCCTGAACTGTAGACTAAAGGAGACCGAGACACCACCACTAAATTCAATACAATTCTTTTTTACATTTTGTTAAAAGGCAGGGTCTTGCTACATTACCCAGCCTGTTCTTGAACCCTTGGCCTTGACATCCTTCTGCCTTGGGTTTCCAAAATGCTAGGATTACAGGAGCCACTGTGCCTAGACAATATAGAGGTGTTTTTGCATGATAAAGCTATTATTGGGACTGCCGGGTAAACATGGTTTCTGGTTGGTAGTAATGTTTCCATGTATTCCTACTTATGATGCATATGTTTGATAATATATTTGGTGATGTTGGGACATCAGAAAAAAATGGACTATTCTTGCAGTATTCTTTTTTTTTTTTTTTTT